GACAAACTGTATTATTTCAAAACCTAAGACAATTCAAAAACTGTTGCTTGTTTAATCAATCGTCCACATTTTTCCCAATAAAGTTTAGTCAAACAAATAAAAAAAAATTAGTCAAGCATAAAAAATGAATAGTTGGTTACTAAAATTATAATTTGCTTGCAGTCTAATGCTGCGTTCACACCAAAAGCAGCAGAGGCAGCAAAAATGCATCTGCTGCTTCATTTTTGATGCTTGTACAAGTTTAGTTGTGGTGGAATAGGGGGTCTGATGCGCGTTGGGCAGAGCTACCCTATCCTTTCTTTGCCTGGCAGCTATATTTGCTGTAATCAGTGGGATTTAAGTAGTTTTAATATGTTTTTAAGTGGGAAAATCCACCTGAAAACTTAATCATTGCAGTCAGTTGATCCAGATTACCATCCTGCCTTCAAATATTATTTTTGTCGTAGCCGCTCAGACCCCCACATACCTGCGGTGCGCAGTCAGTAGGAATCCCATTTAACAGCAGGCTCTGGCCCGGTCGCCTCCTCGCCGTTTGCCGCGGCGGCTGGAAAGCGTTTTGTATGTAATTCAAACTGCAGGCACCAGGATAATAAAAGTGAACATATTTTGCTGTCAGGTTTCAGCATTTTAAGTTAATTTAGGTGTTAATAAACTGTTTCAGGGGAGTGATCATAGTGATCTGTATCATCAGTGCTGTGTCTGTCTCCCTGCCAGCTCCCAGATCAGCTTCTCTGATTAGTTGATGCGGCGCATCGAGCAGCAAAAGTTCAATTTTTCCATCTCGAGCAGCAGCTGCGTTTGCGGCGCTTCTCACGTGTCAGATGCTCAAACGCTTCTGACGCGCTGCTCCTGCTGCTCGAAACGCGCTGCAGGACCTTTTGCTGCGCCTTGATGCGCGTCAACCATTGACTTTGCATGTAAACTAGCTTCTCCTGCTGCCTCTGCTGCTTTAGGTGTGAACGCAGCATATGTAGCTAAGCTTAAAGGGGACCTTTTATGTAAAATTCAGTTTGTGCACATTTTTAGGTTCCATTTGGGTCTCTGCTTTTAGAAACAGTCAAAGTAGAAAAAAAAAAAATCAAATTTTTTTTATAGTTTTTTTTTTTAAAGTAAATAAAGTATTTTCTGAGCTATAGAGCGCACCTCACTATAAGTCACGCCCACAAATGTTTTTGAAAAAACTGGAAACTTGCATAATGTAAGCCACCCCAACTATGAGCCGCTGATACCTACTGAACTGTCTGCCATCAAACCTGTAGGGGGAGCTCTACATAAAGCCCCTGAAGTAGGGACGAAGAAGAATGCTAGCTACCATTAGCTTGTTGGCTCTTACAGCTGTAAGAGCTTCTACTAAAAGCAGGGGCTTCGTCTGCTCTTTATTTCAGCTTTGCTGGAGTTGAGCACAGTCTCTTCTTTGGTTCGGCAGCTTTAATGCGGCAAATAAATGTCCAAATGTGAATTTGGGACATTTGTTCTCCGTCGTGCCTGCTGCTAGCACATTCTTGTGCTAAATGAAAATTTGCCCCTTATTCTTTCCTTTCTCAACTTTTAACTTTCACCTCTGGCGGTTAGGAATAATCCACAGAAAAGCTGCACCTTCTTATAAGCCGCATGTTCCAAAGCGTGGGGAATAAGTTGTGGCTTAAAGTCCGGAAAATAGGGTAAATGTTTTGTTGGTGTCTGGAAAGTGAGACAGTTTAAAACCTCCCTAATTATCACATTGATTGGGAAACACTTCCACTCATCTACACTGGAAAAATTATCTGGAAATAAGTAAATATTTCTCATATTAACTGCATTTCCCCTTAATTTGAGTAGGTAAATGAGATGATTTGCCAATGGAATGAGTATTTCTACTCTTAAAATTGTGTTTTCTTATTTTACATGTAAATTGTCTTGTTCCATTGGCAAAATGTCTCTTTTACCTTCTCAATTCAAGACCAAATGCACTTATTTTAAGCAAAAAAATGACCTAACTAGATTTTGATTTTTTTTTTTTAGTGTAGCAAGCCCACTCTTTACCTAGCTAAACAAGGCAAGTAAAACTGTAACTATATAACAGATTACTATTTTTTTTTTCTAGTCCATTTTCTCCCGCTTATTCCTTGTTAGGGTCGCCGTGAGTCTGGTGCCTAACTCCAGCTGTCTATGGGTGAGAGGCGGGGTACACCTTGGACAGGTTGTCAGTTTGTGGCAGGGCAACACAGAGCGATACAACCATGCACACTCACACTGATGGACAATTTAGAGATGCCAATTAACCTACCAGTCCTATATATGTTTATATGGGGTTATATGTTTACAGTATTTGAATTTTTTTCATGAGGATACGTTTCATCCATTACGCTTATCCGTAAATTTGAAAGTGACACTAAGAGGGATGTGAAATGCTTTAAAAACAAAATCAAAACTGCAACTTTCAAAATTTTTGACATGTGCTTGAAAACCAACCAATGGTCTCTCTTGAAAGCTTGACTGGAAAAAACAGGAGTGATTCCGTTAATAAGGAGTTACTTTTGTTACTTAAGAGTTACTTTTGTACAAAGAACTTTAGTGCTCAAGGTTCTGTTGAATTTTATGTAAGGTTAGCTTCGTTTAACTGTTTTGGCTAATCTTGGTATACTTTTCCATTTCTACCCCCTTGTTTGGCCCATATAATTATATTTTAAAAGTTCCTACGAGTCACTGTTACTTTTAACTTCTATGGGATTAATAAAGTATTTTTTAATTGAAATCTCATCTCTTCCCGCCGTTTCCTTTTTTCCCCCCTTTCTTGGGTTTTGGTGTTTTTTTTCTACACCTTTGTGATTTGTCAATTCAAAGCAACCTCTCCTTGGCCTCAATTTAGTTAAATACCTTGTGTGATGGTGGGTAATTTGGTTATTTTACGTTCCCTCTTGTTCATCAGTAGAAGGAATTTGAGCTCAGCTTCATAGAAATGTGACTCTCCAGATCTGTTATCCTCCTACAGTGAGTAGAAGCTTGGCAGCAGTAAATTAGTAGAACTGAGCACCCGCATTTTGATTTGACATGTTTTTAGGCTGGCATCCTCCACCTTCTCTCAGATAATGCTGGATATAAAGAAAAATTGAATTAACTTTACTTCCATTGTAAGGATAATGCAGTGCAACAAAGGGTTACACTGATTTTTTAAAATAATTTTTAGGGGTATTTATTCATGTTTCTCTCTGAGATCCAGAACAATAGGGAGGATTGGACACCACCCCCTTCAACAGATTTAGCGGCTGATGGGCTGGCTTCATGTATGCTAACCTCTACAATTGGATAAAAACAACCAACCGGAGTGGAGGCCTGGGTTGGAAGAACTGATCTCTATAATTGTAGCTTTCAGTCGAGGCAGTAGTTCAATGTTGCTCTAATAATGTTGCAGGCGGAGGCACTGAATGTAGACTGTAGTCCCCAGAGACTACGGAAATTACAGCACGACTCATAATTGAACTCCACTTTCACTACTGCTGCACACTCATTTAGGATATTTTATTTTCCACTGCTTCTTAAAAGTAAAATACAAAACCTAAAAATTCCTAACCAGTTGTCAATTGTATGCTCCAGTTTGGGCTAAATGATTAGCCGGGCTTTACAGAACATTTAGTATGACCACAGTTTATTTCATTTATCGATATAAAAGACCAAAAATAATTGGTGAAATAAAAAAAAAGCAAAATGTTCAAGTTGGGCATCTCAACTCTGTTGAACTTATCTATCATAGATCAGTAGAAACATCCCCACAGTATGATACCTTTAAGCATAATCAACCTGTCCTAATGTTTTAACTCAGAAATATATGGGCCTGCATCTAAAATCTGATTCAAGCCTGCTGATAGAAACTCTGCCCTTCTGTTGAAAGTTTATGTAACCCACTGGTTAATGAAAGATGGTCAGTTGTTCTCATATTTATTTATGTTTACTATTGTTCTGTGTGTGTAATATCACTAGATCAAACCTTTTCTTATGTTCAACCCTTCAAAATAACCAATGTTTTATCTGGTCCGTATTGTTGTCAGTCAATTTCCAAAGCTTAGATATATTATTGATGTATCAGAAAAGAAAAATTTATATAGTCTTTAGTGTAATTATTTGATTTCATTGATTTCTCTTAATACCTGATTTGTGACCGTTTTATTTTGCTGTAGTTTCTTTAGAAAGCTTATGTTGATGGGTCCACTCCTTCCACCTCATGTTTACCTCTCCTGCTTTGCGCTCCTCTGGGAGCTTGTGCCAATTTGCCAAACTTAATAAAATACATTGAACTGCAGCTTTGCCAGAATGCATTGCATTTTTTTCCAAGCCATTGCAGTTCCTCCATCACCTAATGCCACCTTAAATAGAATTAAATAAAAAATGCCCCTAGCTGACCAGCCTTAGAGACAGGAAAGCCCTTTCTGTGTTTGAATTCTACAAATGGCCGCCAGTTTGGAGCTCATTTGTTCCTTTTTAATAAAAGATGATTTGCTCTGGCGGTTGGCGCATGGTTGTAGTGGCCAAGCTGTGCTGTTATTAGAGAGATTACATGGCTGGCAGTAGCATGCAGCGTGCAGGCTGTTGCATCTGTGTCAGGAGGCCCATAAAGCCAATCTGTCAGTATGCCGTGTCCCTGCCAGAGAGAAGTCTAAAGAGCTGCGCTACAGAGTCCCATCAGCAGCACTCTGTCAGCAAACACCACACCTAACACCCCAAATATGCCACTTACACTTCTACAAAACTATATATGGAAGACAGTTGAAATGGCATAATAATGTCTGTATTAGAGGACAAAGGATGAAATCTCCATCACCTAAAACTTTGTGGACACAGCTTGATGGATAGTACGAGGATTTAGTGAGAAATATTGAGATGCAGAGTACATGGTTACTGTAGGTGTGAGCACAGATGGTGTTCATGTTTCTGTTAACATCTCCGGCAATGCAGTGTTAAAATTCCCCCACAGCACTAACAAGCTTTATGTTAAATACCCGAATCCTTTCTCTCTGCTTTTCAAGGCAACTCCAAAGGGAAACGGCAGAAGAAGATTTTCTGCAGGACGCAGAACTACCTGAACCAGTATGCTGCAGATGGCCTTCGCACTCTCTGCATTGCAAAGAAGGTAAGCAATAGATGGCGTCTCTGTTTGTAGTCCATCACAGATGACTGCATGGACCAACCCTTTACAAATGGGACATGCTTCATGACTCAGCTGCAATCTGCGCCTCATTCCCAGGCTGCTAATTTATGCTCTCGCAGGCTTGGCTCGATATATCCTTGCTTGTGCACAGCCCGTCACCAAAGCCAAGTGATAAAACACCTTGTCAAGGTCTCACATTCTGCTGTGCAAGAGTTAGAGCAGCAAACTCCCCCCCCCCCCCAAAATGAGAAGCTGTGATTCTTTAAACTGTGTGTATTTGATTGTAAACTCTGGTGATTTCTGTGTCAGGTTTTGAGCAAAGAGGAATACGCCCGCTGGCTGCAGCGCCACCTAGAGGCTGAGACAGCCATTCAGGGAAGAGAGGAGCTTCTCTTTGAGTCGGCTTTGAGGCTGGAGACAAACCTTCACCTTTTAGGTAGGTGTCAGTTTGCTTAATATTTCTTTCTTTTTCCTTTTTAGTTTTTTTTTCCTATACTTTCTTCCATATATGCTCTTCCCTTCCTTGTGGTTTTTGTGGTTCCTTCTTAATTTGTATTTTATTTTAAGAACTAACAAGTCTTGAAAGCTGAGTCTAAAAACAAGTGACAGATTATTAATATTATAAAATGTGCAGGAACCCCGTACACTGTTGCAGATGCTGATATGGATGCGTGCTTCTGTCCACAGGAGCGACTGGCATTGAGGACCGGCTGCAGGACGGCGTCCCCGAGACAATAGCTTCCTTGCGGAAAGCCGGCCTGCAGATCTGGGTGTTGACGGGTGACAAACAGGAAACGGCCGTCAACATTGCCTACGCCTGCAAACTGCTTGACCCTGACGAGGAGATGCTGACGCTGAATGCTGACTCCCAGGTGAGGAAGGATCAGAATGAACCTTTTTAGATAATAATAAGTTCTCCATCACAGCTTGGCTGTGATGTGACATCCATTCATGAGAAGCCATGAAGGCATCTGAAGGTCTCCCCACTTGTAGCTGTGTACTGATGATTAATTTATTGGAAAGAAACAAAATCTGACAAACATTATGACCACCCTCAAGATATGCTGGTGAAGATTCTCAGTCGTCCAGGTCATAGTCATTCCAAAAAAAGAAAATTAAAAACAATCAACTGTACTTTGTTTCCAAGTTTTAAGACGTTTCACTTCCCATCCAGGAAGTTTTTTTCTATTCAAAATGTCAGGAACAGTGTTGTGTTTTGAGGTTTTATACAGTCGCCCAGCAAAACCTTGTTTTTGTTTTAATAACATGCAAACGTTTTTTGTTTTTTTTCTTAATCAATACAGCATCTCGATTGTTGCAGAATAAAAGTATTATTTTTACTTCTGGTTAATGATGTCAACATCAACGCCAAAGCATTCTGCTCCAGTGGGGATAACTGGTCGAAGTCACGTGAACTGGAGCTCAGACGTCAACAGAGCTTAGTGTCTCTGTGATGGATCTGAGAAATGCCCTCTTAGCGTTACATTTCCAGGATTCCAAATAAAAACAAAAAAAAGAAGAAAATCAAGCTTTTAAAAGTTGGTGCCGACTTAAGGAGTCAAACACTAACCTTTGCTTAGCATTAGCTCAGGAGGAGTAAAATATGCAACTATCACTTTTAAGTTAAATGAATGAATGAATAGGAATTTATTTCAGACATTTTCAGATAGACAATTTGACAAACAACAATAAATTAATCAACCAAATACACACAAAAAAGACTAGTTAACATCAAACGTAACCAACTTCCAAACTAACTAAATTACCTGAACATCAATAGAAACAAAACCCTCCACCAAATAAACCTGTTGGTATATACAGCAGACAGAAGTTATTAATTGATTAATTTAAATTGTCTGAAAAGGGGTATAAAGAAGTAAACTTATTATTCATTTTGAGCGACAGTGGCGTTGGATGTAGGAGTTTGCCCTGAAATCGAAGGGTTGACGGTTCAAGCCCTGACTCCGACTTTCAGTGTCGTTGTGTCCTTGAGCAAGACACTTCACCTGCATTGTCTACTGATGGTGGTCAGAGGGCCCGGTGGCGCCAGTGTACGGCAGCCCCGCTTCTGTCAGTGAGCCCCAGGGCAGCTGTGGCTACAATGTAGCTTGGCACCATCCGTGTGTGCGTGAATGGGTGAATGAATGTAGTGTAAAGCGCTTTGGTCAAGTCTCCTGACTTGAATAAAGGTGCTATATAAGTACATGACATTTACCATTCATATCCCCTAACCCTCTAATTGCATATAAATTAACTTAAAGTAGAGTAACCTTCCTGTTACTCAAAAAGTATGTTTTTTTTTTTATTATTTTATTTTAATAAAACATTTGTTGTAAATGGGACCACAAGTGCACTGGGACACAGCAAATATTTGAACTTTTTAATTATTAGGGATCTCCTGATCCAGTATTAGTATCGGATATCTGATATTAGCCAAAATACTAATGTCGGATTATATCATCCGGCATCTAAAATCTCCAATATTGTTCTCATACCTGTTGTTCTTTATTTTAGTAAAATCACTTGTTCTAGACTTTTCTAACATTCTACAGTGCAAAATAGGTAATAATATGATTCAATTGTATCAGTCAATTCTCAAAGCTGCAATATCGGTATCGTGCTGGAAATCTAAAAAGTTATGATGAGACACCCCTATTAAACATGTAATCATAAAGCAGGTGTTTTTGAAGAAAGCGACTCGTATCCCGACCAGAATATCAGGTCAACAAGCTTTTTATGTTTTGAGATCTAAAGAAACTTAAAAGTCCATGTAAAAAAGCAGAGTGTGTTTGTTTCATTCAACATTATTGTGAGTTTAGTTTATTGCTGAACAAGCAAATGTTAAAGTATTCTCAAATTTGTTTGTCTTTGTGGTTTATGAAATAAAGGAATGTTTTCGGGCTCTGATTAACTCAGCTATTTCAACCTACAAAGCCTTGACGGAAACATTGATGTATAGGCCATGTATAGGGACTTTCTGTCCACAGTCCAAAAGCGTATTTTATTTATTTAGTAGGTAGATCTATGCAGCTGAAAAAGGCTGCTGCAATCAGGGACTGGATTAACCACAGATGGATGTCCATGGTCTGTAACAGTGGTGAGTTGCTGGTATCACACCAGCATCGCTTCACCTCTGATTGCTTGCCTTATTCCCAGAATAAATCCTGGCATGATGAGATTTATGCAGTGATACTAGAGAACCTGATGGGGTTGCCTTCCATTTTTCCCGTGGTTCTTTTACAATGCTTGTTGTTCATCATTTCCCAAGTTAGTTTAGGTAAACAGGACTGTCTCTCCCCAGACATAACAAACCTGATAAACTGTTTATCTGACACCTTTAAGCTAGAAGAAGCAGTAGCTTTATTAACCGGGAGCGATTCGGGCTGAACGGCCTATCTTTAGCTCCCCTTGTGGATCAATAACTGTGGATCCTGTCAAGGATTCAGGTTGGTTATTGCCTTGGACCAACTTGGATGGAAACAGACTTCTAACAGGTGCTGTGATGAAGAGGGAATCAATCTTATTCACAGGATATTTATGCCGAAGTTCAAATCAATAAAAGCTTCAGGTTGATGTAGATGCATTGGGCTTTGTTTTCTCTGAACGTCACCTGCTGTGAATTACGGTGGTCAGTGTCTCAGTGGTGACTTCTAACCGTCTCTGTGCCTCTGTGTGATCCAGGAGGCGTGCGCTGTGTTACTGGAGGAAAGTTTACATTACATCCAGGCCAAATTCCTCTGCAGCTCCGGAGACCAGTCCACCAAGACCTTCAACAGTAACCTAGAACCCTTTGAGATCTATCCCTCCCTCTCCACCTCCTCCTCCCACGCTGCTCACTTCTTGGTGCACCGCCTGGGCTTGGTCATCGATGGGCGGACCTTGGCCTACGCTCTGGATAAGAGCTTGGAGGATAAGTTTCTGGCGGTGGCGCGTAGCTGCCGCTCGGTTCTGTGCTGCCGGTCCACTCCACTGCAGAAGAGCATGCTGGTTAAACTGGTGCGGAACAAGCTGAAAGTCATGACCCTGGCCATAGGTGAGACCCAAGTGAACCATGCAGTTTAATTTAAAGGTTATTTCAAGTTTTGTTTGCAATTTAAATTCAGAATGGAAAAAAAATGTTGAGACTGTTACTGGAGTTTCTTTAACACGGCTCCTACGCAGTTTGGAAAAGTGATTGGAATTCAGTTTTTACTCCTTATCCAACTGTCTGAAAGTTGTATCTCTCTATCCACCCACCAATCTGTCCACCCATCCAACCGTATCTCCTATAAATAGATCCTTCTATCTAGCCAGATTCCCATTCCTTTGCCATCTATTCAATCATTCATCATCTAACCATCAAATAGTCCATCCACCCACTCTCTTTATTCTAGCTCTAGTTATTCACCCACTAATTCTCCTCAAAGCTGTAGTTTTCTTCAGGTTTCAGATCAACTCCCTGAGAGCTTTAGAATCACCTTTATTTGTTTATTTTGGGAATCTTTCTATTTATACTTTTTAAGTTGTCTGGAAAATCACCAAAAATTATGAAAAAATAAAACCTGCTCAAAGGCAGTGGAAGTTGTGCCTTTTAATATTTGATATTTAAACTGTCACCAACTTTACACGACATAAAAAGTAAAACCAGACATGTTGGATCTAATTACAAACATAGAAAACAGCAATAGCTATAAAGATCAGAACTGGTCAGAAGAATTGTGTAATATAAAAAATATACCCTATTTTCACGACCATAAGGCGCCGACGGAATACGTTCGCTTTTATTACCGGTATCCTGGTGCCTGCAGTTTAGATTATTTAGATGAAAAGCACCTGCCAGCCGCTGCAGTGAACCCGGAGCCGACCCGGCCCAGAGGCTGCTGTTGAAGGGATTCCTACTGTCGGTGCACCGCTGGTATGTCGGGGTCTGAGCGCCTCCGACAGAAATAGTATAGGCAGGATGATAATCTGGCTGAACTGACTGCAAAAATTAAGTTTTCAGGTGGACTTTTTCACTTAAAAACATATTAAAACTACTTTATTCCCACTGATCACAGCAAATATAGCTGCAGGATTTA